TCTCATTATCCATCCTGTCATTTTCCTCGCTGATGGGATAGTGATATTGTTGTGATCCTTGAATGTAAGATCATCTGACAGTATGACTCCCAAATCCTCTTGATTAATTGTTCGCTCTATCTTCTGGTTAGACTGTTGTATACTCGGTTCTAGCTATTATCTCCTCAAGTTTTTCACAAATGAGTAACTGAAATTTGTCCTTAGTGAACATCATATTGTTACCGCGACCCAGTGAAAATTTTAGTTTATATCTGCTTAGAGATTTGCCGTGTCCTAAATGGAGGGCAGTCTCATGCAGATTCTAGTATCGTCTGCAAAAGAAGACTTGGTGCTATGGTTTACATCTCCGTTTAGTCAGATATAAGGATGAAGAAAAGGATGGGAATGAGTTCTGTACCTTGTGGAACAGAGCTTTTCACTGTGACAGCCTCCGTCTTAACTCTGTTTACTATTATTCTTTGTGTTTTATTGGTTAGAAAGTTAAAGAGCCATCTGCCCACTTTTCCAGTTATTTCTTTAGCACATGTTTTGTGAGCTATTACATCATGATAGCACTTGAGGAAGGCTTTTGCAGAGTCTGTGAATACTACATCTGCGTTGTTTGTCGACTAGTGGCTCCAAGACTTGTCATAGTTGTCCAGTAGTTGCGAGAGGAAGGAGCATCCTGTTCTAAATCCATGCTGCCCTGGGTTGTACAATTGTTGGGTATTCAAGTGGTTGGTGATCATACTTCTTACAGCTCTTTTCAAAAATTTTTATGATGTGGGAAGTTAGAGCTATCGGTCTATAATTCTTTGTAACTGCGGACTGGGGCTATATCTGTTGTTTTTAGCGACTGTAGGATGACACCCGTGTCTAGACTTCCTCTCCATAGCATACTTAAGGCACGTGCAAGGGGTTTCTTGCAGTTCTTGATGACCACGGCAACCCACGAGTCTGGGCCTGGGGCAGAGTGCTTGGGCATGTTGTCAGTGGCAGAAATTTTGCATATATTAACAATGTTTTGAGACTTGCATAAACGGTTGATTCGGATTGTCGATCTTTAGTCTGATTAATGACTCGCTAAAGACAGTCATACTGAGACTTCAGTATTTCACTCATTTCTTTCCTGTCGTCCATGTAAGTCCCATCTTGTTTAAGCATGAGCTCTATACAGGATTTTTTTTGTTTCTTTTTATGGCATATGGAAAGAAGTATTTAGGATTTATTTTAATTTCATTAATTACTTAAGCTGATGTCTCTCCTGGACGCTGTATGAATCATTCAACTTATGTTCAGTATTTTTTACTTTTCTAATCAGTACTTCCTTCCGCATTTCAAATAGTCTAAGATCCCTAAGAAGCTCAGTGAAGTATACCTGGGTGTTCCGGGGGTCAGTGCCCCCGGAACACCCTGGTTAACAGCCTAGTTAACCAGGCTGTTGCTGCCGGCCGCACGCAATCCAACGTATGAACCACAGCCTGGTTGGTCAAGCACTGACTTTAGGTGTCTGTCCAGCTCCCTCTTGAAGACAACCAGGGGTCTATTGATAACCACCTTATGTATGCTGGGAGGCAGTTGGACAGTCTAGACAGAAAAAGTTCAAATCTGGGCGAACATCACTTGCTGTGCGAAAACAGGCCGACACTGCTCAGAATGACACTGCTCAGTACTGTCATAATGACAGTATGTTCGCTCATACGATAGTGTGACATGATCAGTACTGTCATAATGACGTATGTTCCGTCATCGTGAGTGACCTGATCAGTAACTGTCATAATGACAGTATGTTAGCTCATACGATGATGTGCCCTGATCAGTACTGTCATATGACAGTATGTTCGACTCATCACGATGGTGGACATGATCAGTACTGTCATAATGACGTATGTTCGCTCATACGATGAGTGACACTGATCAGTACTGTCATAATGACAGTATGTTCGCTCATACGATGAGTGACACTGATCAGTACTGTCATAATGACAGTATGTTCGCTCATACGATGAGTGACACTGATCAGTACTGTCATAATGACAGTATGTTCGCTCATACGATGAGTGACACTGATCAGTACTGTCATTATGACAGTATTCTCACCTATACGATGAGTGACACTGATCAATATATTCGCAAATCAGGGTAAAATCTACACAAAAAGCTATCAGAATACTAAGTAGGTGTGTGTAGCTCAGCATAACAGAGCAATGGTGAAAAAGACGAAGATAAAATCTTAACGTGTACCAAATCATCTTAAGTTAAAATGTAATAGAGTGAACCTGCATTAATGGTGGGACAATCAGAGGAGGCACCTGGGAAAGGTTTTCGGCAAACGCTTAACAGATAAATAAATTATTTCCACTTGATATATATATAGGTTTCTACAAAAGTTTTTTTTTATTAAACTGGATAACATTTTATAGCAAACAGGGAAAGCCACTGATTATATAAAACACAGGATATATTGAGAAAGGCATTTCAGCGTATATATGCTCAGAGTTTAATCCCTATTTTGCGGATTAGAATATTCTTGTTGTGGTGGTGAAAAGTTTGCCGTACAGCCTTAATGATCCCAGTATAATCGATAGGCTTTAATCCCAAATAACCTAATCTGCCTAACCCATGAAAAATGCTCTCACATGTGACGAAAACATACACTGGTCTATTTTTCATGGTTACTCCATATACTATGTATAGGTTTCTGGTTGAGGAAAACATGTGTCATGGTGGTAATCCGTAGAACTTAAACGGAGTTCACCAATGTTTATGTTGGGAGACTCATGTGTTTATGTAATATGTCGGCCATATTAGTTACAAGGTTATGGGTAGCAGGTAACCCACAAGTTGCTTTTAAAACGCTTTTATATGTAAGAGAAAATGAAGTTGCTGGTTGACGTGTTTTGTAGTCGCATATAATCTAAACTATCAAAATAATTTACATTCTTCCATCGTCCTTGACTGAACCATTTTGCTACATATTTTGTCATTATTATGGTTATAATATTCAAGGTGAGCGCTAAACCCGCAGGGGTAATTCAACACCATATAATTTGTCACAAGCATGTATTTATATCATGCAATTTTTCAAATATATTACACAAGCTTTCATCATTATTATCCACGACCCAAGAGTGTATCTGGTGCCGTTTTCAGGTTTTCATATATAAAAAAAATAGCGTAAGCCACAGCGCAGGTGAGGCCGCATGTCTGTGCTTTAATAAGCCTGAGTTACTTACCACATCAACACCACCTCCACCGTCTCGTCTACTATATTCCACTGAAGAGAAACATTTCGGTATCCTATTTACCAGGCACATTATCAAAACTAAACGCTAAACCCGCAAGGGTCATACAGCGCTGCAAGTTGGGGTGCGCTAAAGAAGGGATATGCTGTTTTAACTTTTAAAGTTCCAGTCATGATTGAGTCCTACTGTAATTTACTGCTAGGCTTTGAATAATAAGATATTACAAGGACCCCATTGGAAACAGGTCATTGACTTTTTTGGATTATTGTTATTTGGTTACTTAAGGTCAGAAACCAGTGTCCACTTGCCACGGTGATGGTACATTTACCAACTCTATAGTTATTAAATGTTACTTAAAAGCCACTGAAATACTGGAGATCATGGAGAAGGGCTAAAACTGTGGAGGTCACACAAGTCCTATTGAAATGGGAGGCATTCTGACTTGATCCGAAAAGGATCAAGTCAGAATGCTGGCCAGGGGATCAAGATCCCCTGGCCAGCACCACGGAAGGGATAATGCTCGAGAACTTGGTGCTGGGGGTTCACTACAACCAAGGTTCATTCTGGTGTTTACACAACTGTTTTTACATAAGAATGGAGGAACACTGCAGAAGGCCTACTGGCCCATACAAGGCAGGTCTTTATCAAAACCACCACTACCCAAAGCTACCCAATAATATACTCCCGTACCCACGACACCAATCAAACCCAGACCCTCCCACTCGTATATTTGTCAACTTTTTTTTTACAGCTACCCGGCTTAGTCTTGATTACCCTACTCGGAAGATTGTTCCATGCAACGACCACTGTTTAAAACACAGTACTTATCTATATCCTTTTCAAATCTAAATTTATCCAACTTGAATCCGTTACTCCTCCCTGATGTTTTCTCCTACTCGAGGCTACTGTTTATTAAACTCATAATTAAGCCTCTTTCCCATAACCATACATTATTAAGGAAGCGCTAAACCCACATGGATCAAACAACATTGTGGGAATGGGAGGCAATCTGGTATAATCCAAGGGCAGGACAGGTCCAATCCCTTGGATCAAGAGCCGCTCACCGGCATCTAGTCCCCCTCTTCCTGATTGAAGGGTGGCGATGCGTCTTACATCTTGTGTTCACGGGGAAGCACTAAACCCGTAGCAGGTCACACAAAGTTCAATAGTATCACTGGAAGTACTGTGTTCATACAGTGCCAGGGTTTATACCCGTCATGGATTTCCAGTTTTCCCACCCAAGTGCTCGGCCTGGGACCAGACTTTTCTGATGTATGTTCAGTAAAGAAGTTGCTGTTGGTGGCCCATTCGCCCATATACCAACCACCGCCTGGAGGTTCAAAATGTACAACTGGCCATGAAGTCATGGACCCGTGCGCCCTGCGCATGCGCCTTGAGTCACGGTAGTGTTACCCTCAGGTTAGGGAGACGCAGACAGGATGAACTTCGTCAGTTATTTACCCAATATATCGCCCTTTATAACAGGAACCCGACAGATCAATCAGGCCAGCAACCAGGAGGCCAGGTTTGGGACCGTGCCGCGGGGCGGTGACCTCCGGGGCGACTACAGGTAATGACCTCAGCTGAGATGTTAAGAAATACACTTAAGTTTTGGGTGGAGTATATTTTTGACAAGAAGCAAAATACATACGTATCCACTTCATTTAACACGGGGAAGGGGGAATATATATATATATATATATATATATATATATATATATATATATATATATATATATATATATATATATTAATATATATGTAATATATATATATATATATATATATATATTTTTTTTAGGTTTTTATAACTACATATAAGTACTTCATAGCATAAATAAATAATATATATCTATTCTTAAACTATACATTGTAGTAAGATACTGGTGGTATCGACCTAGGCGAGAGGTGGACGTGGAAATGGCGTGTATACACCTCATCCACGCCCACACGCCCGTCCCACGCACATTAGGCGTGCAAACTTTCACACTGGCAAAACACACATCACTGCTGGGCTTGGTTGAGTGGTGAGACATGCCAACAACTCAACAAAGTCCATGGCAACCCAACCATGCATATGACAACTCAACTACGCCTATGACGCCCCCTTCAGCGACCTGAAGGAGGGGGTGGTGGGGGCGCCGCTAGGCCATGAGGAGGGGGGAGGGGTTGGCCGGTTCCTCAACCCGCCCTCACGGCTGTCAAACACCACCACCTTAACCTACACTTAATTACTGGTGTAGCCTCGCACACCACAACCTTAACCCTATACCTCTTTATTAACTAAAGTTGTTGTGGGTTGTGATGGAGGGGTCCGCAAGATAAGGGCGGCCCCCTACATCACCCTACCCACATCACAACAAATCTTAACACACTACCTTAAGTCTACCATAGAGCTAAGTAATAACATAGGCCTACGGACCGCTCAGGCGACACTAACTGATGCCGCCACGAACGTAAATAACACGAAGTTCATAGAACTTACACATGGGAATATATCATAGATATATGGTGTAAAAATAACGCACAGGGCCTTACTGCAGAGCTCAGGCCTGAGTTAGGCCGAGTCATCCACTGACCTTGTGCGGAATTAGGGGAAATTACCTTCCCCCCCTTAACACTAGGTTTGTCACTCACACAGACACACACAAGCATACTATGGGAAGGTCTGGCCGAGCCCTACAGGCAGTAGGGATGGCAGAACTGGTAGACGAGCCGCTGGGACCGTTCAGTCTTCTTCATGATACCTTTCTTGTAGTACTGACGGATGGAGCGGGAAAGCTTGTCGTAGTTCATGGCTGGGCGGTTCTTGCGTTTGCCCCACAAGCGAGCTACCCGTACGCTGTCTTCAATCTTGAAAACGCCCTTCTGCCGGTCCAGCCAGCGGATGCAAGAGCCATAGAGTTGCGGCTGCTGCAGCAGCTCCTTCAGGAACTGCCACAGGTGGATGTGGGTGCCACCGCGCCCACCGCTGCCACTACCGCCGCCGCCACCGCCACAGACCTCGTCCTCCGCCTCTTCTGAAAAAATGAACAAAAGTCTCTGTTGTTGACCGCTGTTAAAACAAACATGAATATTACACACCTTTCCTCCAACCTGCAAACTTCCTCAACCTGCAAACTTCCTCAACCTGAACACTTCCTCAACCTGCAAACTTCCTCAACCTGAACACTTCCTCAACCTGTACACTTCCTCAACCTGCACACTTCCTCAACCTGCACACTTCCTCAACCTGTACACTTCCTCAACCTGCACACTTCCTCAACCTGTACACTTCCTCAACCTGTACACTTCCTCAACCTGTACACTTCCTCAACCTGCACACTTCCTCAACCTGTACACTTCCTCAACCTGTACACTTCCTCAACCTGAACACTTCCTCAACCTGTACACTTCCTCAACCTGTACACTTCCTCAACCTGACACTTCCTCAACCTGTACACTTCCTCAACCTGTACAATTCCTCAACCTGTACACTTCCTCAACCTGTACACTTCCTCAACCTGCACACTTCCTCAACCTGTACACTTCCTCAACCTGTACACTTCCTCTCTTCAGATAGTTCCTGACTATGGAACTGAACTTCTCCAGGCCGAGGGACTGACAACCTCAAATTCTACGACTTCAAGGGTGATGGACTGATTACATCGTCTTCACATCTTTACTGTTCCTGCCTACTTTCTGTATTCGACTGAAGAAGCCTACTGTGTAGGCGAAACGTTTCGGAATAAAGTTGCCTAACTGTTGCCTATGTGTCTTACCTACCGACTTGTAAATGGCCCAAGTCGGACCGAAACGTCGTCGTAAGCTCCTCTCTTCTATGTGCGGATTATTTGTGTATATGTCCTAGTGTTTGCTTACGTGTTTTTCTAAATCGATTTGTCGGTATCTATTATTAAGGTTTATACCAGCAGTAAGATACTTTATGGCAGTGAGCGTCAAAAAAGCACAAGTGTCTTCATTAACAAGCGTGACTTTTCGCACGTTGTGGAAACCATGTACAAACGCATGTTTGCCTAGAAGGCTGGGGTACCAAACCATAACAACCTTCCCATACCCGCACCAACACACATCCTCTCCCACAAAACTGGGAAACCCAAGCCACATTAGAATGATGGGAGTTGCAACACTGACCCGTTTAGCGGAGGAAGAACAAGCGGAAGTACTTAGATATAACACAGCAAAGTATAAACAAGGCAGCAAAAATGGGGTACCAGGTCACAATACACTCACAGGGTCACCTAATATCACCACCACACATTGTTCACACTATGTTCAATGTTCTCACCGGAAGCTGTGAACGTTCATGTTCCAACCACCATTATCACTTCTTAATACGAACCTCCCCCCTCTACTTCGCCACAACCACTATTCCCCACTCCCTAATACCATCCTTTACCTCATCCCTGATAGTCTTTACTCAGTCCCCAATATCCCTTCTTCCTAACCCTTATCCATTATTTTCCAGTCCCTAATGCTCTTGACCCCTCGCTAATACCCAACCACCTTTATACACCTGTTTATCAATACACTACACCTGGCCACTTTTTCCTCATCTCCCGTCACCTTATACACCCATCAACCTGTTTCACTACGCTTAAAAGATCCCAGAAGTAACAAATCAAACTTGCCCTTACAGTCGTACCAGAATATACAGTTTTACGTGAGCATACACATCATTACATGAATATACATCCTATACTCGAGTCTTAACTGAGTATACACAGTATTACCTGAGTATACACAATATTACCCGAGTATACACTGTATACTCAGTCCTACCCTAGGTAGGTCTTACCAGGTAGGTAGGCAGTATACACAAACTTATAATTTTGCGTTATCAATAGCTATGCTGGATGCACCCCACCAACTGCCAATTATTTCAGTATATAATTGGAGAAGAGAACGTCACTATATGACGTAGAGGGGGGATTTCATTGTATAGGAAATTAAAATATAATGGAGGGGAGAACCTCAAAATAGATGGAGGGAGGGAGCAGTACTGATTACAGAGACAGTCATATTTACACACGAATTCAATTGCCAGTGGAGAGAGAAGGGATTAGAGATGAGAGAGGGCAAGTTGAGGGAGGGAGGGGCAAGTTGAGGGAGGGAGGGGCAAGTTGAGGGAAGGAGGGGCAATTTGAGGGAGGGAGGGAGAACAGCGGCCTTGGCGGCCGGGAATCCCAAACGCAATGTTGTCGGTGCCCATGGTGTGTGTGTACTCACCAAGTTGTACTCACCTAGTTGAGGTTGCAGGGGTCGAGTCCAAGCTCCTGGCCCCGCCTCTTCACTGGTCGCTTTATCATACCTCTGCGTGTATATGCGTGTGTGCATGTGTGTGCGCGCGTGTGTGTGCGTGTGCGCGCGTGCCCCATCCACAATATCGAACCCACATGACAAGTGTGTGTGTGGTGTGTGTGTGTGTGGTGTGTGTGTGTGTGTGTGGTGTGTGTGTGTGTGGTGTGTGTGTGTGGTGTGTGTGTGTGTGTGTGTGGTGTGTGTGTGTGTGTGTGTGGTGTGTGTGTGGTGTGTGTGTGTGTGTGTGTGTGTGTGTGTGTGGTGTTGTGTGGTGTGTGGTGTGTGGTGTGTGTGTGTGTGTGGTGTGTGTGTGGTGGTGTTGTGGTGTGGTGTGTGTGTGTGGTGTGTGTGTGGTGTTGTGTGTGGTGTGTGTGTGTGTGTGTGTGTGTGTGTGTTGTGTGTGTGTGTGGTGGTGTGTGTGTGTGTGTGTGTGGTTGTGTGTGTGTGTGTGTGTGTGTGTGTGTGTGTGTGTGTGTGTGTGGTGTGTGGTGGTGTGTGGTGTGGTGTGTGTGTGTGTGGTGTGTGGGGGTGTGGGTGTGTGGGTGTGTGTGTGTGGGTTGTGTGTGTGGGGTGTGTGTGTGTGTGTGGTGTGTGTGTGGTGTGTGTGTGTGTGTGGGGTGTGTGTGGTGGTGGGTTGGTGTGTGTGTGTGGTGTGTGTGTGTGGTGGGTGTGGTTTGTGTGGGGTGTGTGTGTGGGGTGTGTGTGTGGGGTGTGTGTGGTGTGGTGTGTGTGGTTGTGTGTGGGGTGTGTGTGTGTGGGGGGGTGTGTGTGGGGTGTGTGTGTGTGGGGTGTGTGTGTGGGGGTGTGGTGGTGTGTGTGTGGGGTTGTGTGTGTGGTGGGGTGTGTGTGGGTGTGTGTGGGGGGTGGTGTGGGGGTGTTGTGTGGGTGTGTGTGGGGGTGTGTGTGGGGTGTGTGTGGGGGGGTGTGGTGTGGGTGGGTGTGGTGGGGTGTGTGTGGGGTGTGTGTGGGGGTGTGTGGGTTGTGTGGGGGGTGGTGTGGGGTGTGTGTGGGTGTGGGGTGTGGTGGTGGTGTGTGTGTGTGTGGGGTGTGGTGGGGTGTGTGTGTGGGGTGGTGGGGGTGTGTGTGGGGGGGGTGGGGTGTGTGTGTGGGGGTGTGGGTGGGGTGTGTGGGGTGTGGTGGGGTGTGTGTGTGGGGGTGGTGGGTGTGTGTGTGGGGTGTGTGTGTGGGGTGGGTGGGTGGGTGTGTGGTGTGGTGTGGGTGGTGGGTGTGTGTGTGGGGTGGTGGGGGGGGGGGGTGGGGGGGGGGGGGGGGGGTGGGGTGTGTGTGTGTGTGTGGGGTGTGTGGTTGTGTGTGGGGTGTGTGTGGTGTGGGGTGTGTGTGTGTGGTGTGTGGTGTGTGTGTGGGTGGTACTCACCTATTTGTGGTTGCAGGGGTCGAGTCCTAGCTCCTGGCCCCGCCTCTTCACCGGTTGCTACTAGGCCCTCTCTCTCCCCGCTCCATGAGCTTTATCAAACCTCGTCTTAAAACTGTGTATGGTTCCTGCCTCCACTACGTCATTTTCTAGGCTATTCCACTGCCTTACAACTCTGTGTGTGTGTGTGTGTGTGTGTGTGTGTGTGTGTGTGTGTGTGTGTGTGTGTGTGTGTGTGTGTGTGTGTGTGTGTGTGTGTGTGTGTGTGTGTACGTTAATTTCCGTACATGCACCTCCACTTATCGTGTGGTCGCCAGTACTATTTTGTATACTTCACACAGGCCTCAGGTCTTACTCATGCACACGTTAGCAACACTCGTATACACGCTGGCAACACTTGTACGCTTCAGCAACACTCGTCTACACGTAAGCAACGCATGTGCACATTTAAACATTTGCACATGCTTTAAAAACTGAAGTACACATTTACTTGAATACATTTGCAACATGAGTGTGCACATTAGCAACACCTGCGTACACATTAGAAGCATGTACACATTAATAGGACGTACACACATACCTAACACTCGTTTGCACAATAAACAGATATGCACACACTACAAACAACAGGTACACATCAACAATGAACGTACACATGTACACTACGTCATGTACGTCCAACACTCGACTCCACCTAAAATGAAAGCTCTGACGTCACACACCTCTGGGTTGTCTTTTATCACAAACTTTGCAAAAATATTAACCCAAGACAACTACAGTATAAAACAAAAAGTAAACTGATACTGTCAGCGATTCATGCAGGTCATGGTAGGGAAGTGGCGTTGCAACAACAGTAGTACATAACGGGAGAAAAAAATGGAGGTTGGAGTGGGTAGAAGCGTTGAGATTTCCACGGGTCCCTGATAGAGGCTAGCACTGGTATCACCTTGAGCCTGACACAGCGAGGACCCGTCGCAACAACCGATCTTACGATGCCTCTACACAAGGCCCAAAGCCACCCACCCTCACATAGGTCCTTATGATAAATGCCTTCACTAGCCTCAATTGTTGCGTTTCGCGTGTAACACACAAAGACAAGTGTAGTGTGGCTGTGATTCAACCAGCCTCGGGGGTAGGGCGGGGTCACTCTGGCAGCAGCAACACTCTTGTGCCTTGTTTGTTGTCTGTTTACAGTTAAGGCAATGGCAGCAGCAACAACCCCCCCCCTTCCCTGCCCGCCCAGACACCAACAGTGGAAGCAACAAGTCTCTCCATTCCCTACAGTGGCACCCCTACCCCAAGTGGCAGCGGCAACCCACCATGACAGTGGCAGCAGTAACCCACTCCCACTGTGGCACTCAAGTGGCTAGTCTACCCAATTCCACCCCCTCCTAAAGTGGCTAATTTCCCCTACCCACAGTGGCCAACTCTCCCTATCCATAGTTCTTCTTCCCTATAGTGATACCCCCACCTCCACAATGCTTATCCTTCATCCACACAGTGGCACAGTTCCCTTACAGTGGCTACCCTCCCACACCTCTCCTTATCCATGATGGTGGCAACATCCCTCCCCTACACCACAATACTCACACAAACATGTAACTATGAGTTTACTTTCAGCCCTATTTTAGAGATCAAAATACCCTTGACTCATGGTATATATAGGTGATATGCTACGTTAATGACTATCATGCAATCGACGTACGCCATCTCCTCTTCTCAGGTATATCTTTGCAGATGTCAATAAAGAATCGCATTATACTGCAGTTGTGCATTTTTTCCAGTAACAGCCTGCTTGAACAGACAATCAACAGAAAAGCCTGGCCCCAGGCTCACAAAAACTTTCGAAACCGGTCACAGGTAGGTACTGGTTTCACGAGTAACCTTACAATCTTGTCCTATCTATGCTTCTCCATTGTAGGCAAGTATAATTAATTCGAATAGTCCTTCCCTTGTAGCTCTTACAAATGTAGCCGAAAAAAATTTTTTGTTTGCCAGCCTTGCATATGACATAAGATCAGTAATGAGGTACATAATAAAACTATCAAACAACCTCTTAAAACGGCATTCTTCCCCTCCTTCCTGATGTCTAACTATGCCCCGTGTATCTTTTGAGTCTGTAATAACTTTTGATACATAAGTGGGAAGGAACACTACAGCAGGCCCACTCATGTACCCTTCAACCTTTCTGTAATTAAAGCTACCCAGTTTTTGCCTCATATCTTCCCTAATTTAACACCTATTCAAAAAAGTGCTCAGCCTATTTTCCTTGGAAAGGCTTTTAATAAATGGAATCAACTTCCTTCTCTTTATATGTTCGAGCGCATTTATGTTAATCCTTTAACAGGGAGACCAGAAGAAAGCAACATAATCTAAATGAAGTCTAACTGAAGATACGAGTATATAGACCTGAAGTACAACCTTAGAACTTCTATCATTTATACTCCTTGATATGAAGCCAAGAATTCTTTTAGCTTTATTGTGAACCCTTAAACCCTCCTAATCATTTTTCACATTCACTTTGACTAAGAACATTGTTTTACTTAAGTGCTATTTCTTTTTCCTGGGATTATAAACTTAAACTTGTCTGCATAAAACTACATTTGCCATTTCTCCGACCACAACAGCAATTACTGATTCCATCAACTTTCCCACAATTAGTTAGGTTAACTGGTCTATAATTTGAAGTTAAGGGGCCTATCTCCCGCTTTGTAATTGGGTACCACTTGATTTTTTCCATTTACCCGGTACGATACCGTTTGTAGCGACGATACCTGTTTGTGTATTAAGTTCCTCCTTACAATCCTTTAGAAGTCTTGAAAACAGCTCCTCAGAGCCGGGTGACGTGTTTGACTTCAAAGTTACTAGTTACGTCTGTTTAGAAAGTTCTTATTTATCATGTCGCTAGTGACTTTGATATTGCATTATTTATTTTCGTCCTAAATAGTATAATTATTGATTTCTGGAATTGCGTTTGTATCCTCGTGTAAAATCTGAGAGGAATTATTGAAAACGGTGCACATTTCCTTTCACTAACAGTAAGCTGACCTGAACCCATCTTTTTCTTAATCTTCTTACTTACCTGAAAGAAAACCTTTTAACCAACCACAGCTACCAGTCAGAAACCACCTCCCTCAGCATCCATTTCTCCACACAGGTTAACTCCCCACATTCCTGTTCTACAAGTGTCGGGTCCCTAAACAACCAACAAACATCCAGCTAACTTTCATTAAAATAAAACGTGATTGAAAACCTCTAAATAATAACACCAGCTTATAGTAGGTGGAGAGCACAAGGCTGACTGTTCAAGGAAGGCATCACAGAAAAGGTCTCAGAGATACCCTTCAAAGGTGTGCCTTGATGCTGGTAAAGGGATTCTGATCCAAAGAGCTGGAGGCAACCCCTTCTTTGGATCAAACCAAATGACCTTATATTCAGCAGTCTCCATTACCCCTCTGGGTTTATTGTTTTCCCATTAATATAATAAAAATGTCTCGAACATGAGATAACAATGAACAATAAATCAGTTACCGAGGTCAGTGTGCTTCAGACACATTTAGTCTTAAAATTAGAATTAATCCAGTACCTAAGGATGTTTAGTCACAGAAAAAATAATTGTCTTTTTTTACTTATCAGTATTACTGAAGGAGGTAGTGATAGCCTATTGTTAAGTCAACTGTCCAAAATGCTTGATTTTTCAATAAAAAAATCCTGAAAAAATACAAAAAATGACGTGCTGCGTCACTCTAAGATTTGGAATCCTCATACATACTTTTGTTGTTCAGCGCTAACTTCATGAAAATTACCTAAGATACTACAACACAGTGGGTTGAGGTACTCACCATCAGAATCATAGGCGTCGTCCTGGGGAGAGTGGGCGGGGACGCGGGTGGTGTGGGCGGCCTTGGGGCTGCTGGCTTGCTGCTGGAGAAGAGCCGTCATCTCGAGACACTGTTCTTCCAGGTAGACGCCTCCATTGGCCTGCTGCTGCGGTGGAGGAGGAGGAGGCTGTGGAGCTGGGGTGCCCGGCTGGGGTTGGCAGGCTCCTGCACCACCATTACCACCCTGCAGATGTTGCTGCTGTTTTTGCTGCTGCTGCGTCACCTGCACTACTGATGTGGGCACCTGGCCCAGGTTACTTGTTATAGGGATAGGAGGAGTCGATGGAGAACCCAGATGATTGGGAGACCCCAAATGACTGGGGGAACTCAGCTGGTTAGGAGTTCCCAGATGGTTAGGAGACCCCAGATGGTTAGGGGACCCCAAATGGTTAGGGGACCCCAAATGGTTAGGGGATCCCAGAGGGTTAGATCCTAGATGGTTAGGGGATCCCAGATGGTTAGGGGATCCCAGATGGTTAGGGGACCCCAGATGGTTAGGGGACCCCAGATGGTTAGGGGATCCCAGTTGATTAGATCCCAGCTGGTTAGTGGTCCCCAGTTGGTTAGATCCCTGTTGATTCGTGGACCCCATCTGGTTAGGGGAGCCCAGTTGACTTGGTGACCCCATCTGAGGGGAACTAATCTGGCCAGAATTTTCCAGCTGGTTTGCTTGTGGCACTTGCTGTTGCTGCTGACAGGGCTGTTGTTGCTGCTGAAGGTGCTGCTGACCTTGGGGTCCTTGCATCTGGCTTGGGTCAGGGTGCAAACGATACCTGTACTGGTACTGAGGCAGTCTGGGAGCCGCGCGTAATGCCCCCCTCCAAATCTCCAGCTGGGCATAGAGCAACTCTCCCCCAACGGGAGCCAGCTGGCGGAACTGCGCCTCAGTCAGCTTCAGAAGCGCAGGACCGCCCAAGTTCCAGAAGTTGAGCATGAGAGGAGGAAGGTGGAGTTGCGCAGCTTGCAGGTTCAACCATGCGCGCACGTCAGCCACGCTCCACAAGGCGGGGTCTGCAACACAACAACAATCTTACTGACACCGGTTCTTGCAACTCACCAACACTAATATAAACACACCTACCTCCTGTGATGCCAATAGGAACACCCAGAGTTGTGTATATATACTATCCACCAGTGTGTGTGTATATACAGTGTATGTATACTATCCTATGCACCAGTATATATATGTACTATCTCAGTGTGTATAGATTTTCTCAGCATTTATTGGGTATTATAATTCATATTTACAAGAGTTCTTAACGTTAATGTAAGAGTAAATTGTAGCCTAATGACTTCGTTCAATCGATAGGTTTTTACAAATATTAAGCCTCTGCTGTATGTAGATGATGTCAGTGAAGCTGATCCCAAACTTTTACAATACACTGTGTTGCGACTTATTTTTAAAATAAACTATAATTCCATGTACAAGGTTGTCAACATGCCACTTCCCTACTGACACTGTCACTCCCATCATCACTTACTACACTGCACACGAAGCCGAAAGTGACACTTGAGCACAAAACACCAGATTATCGTGATTTAAGCCACAGCAGAAGCAGCATCTGCCGCACCTACCGGCCACAGCAGCAGCAGGCGACGGAGCTGGCAGCGATCTCGACTTCGTGGACAAGTCCGCCATGTTTGTCGGGAATGGCGGTCGAGATATTAAGAACTGACGTCTCGTGTGGTATGTATGTATCAGGTGCAGCTGGGCGTGGGGCGGCCTGAATGAGGGAGGTGTGATCGAACTCGCTGCCCTGGCCAGACTATGCACCTTCAGATAATGCTGATGACAGAGGGTAACACTTGGTGACGTCACAACCCACGTCACAAGATCCTGCTCAGGCCCGGGAGGACCAGCAGGCATTTCCCGCACACCCTTTATTTTACCCGCTCCTGCCGCCACAGGCGCAGGCGGTGGACGCTAGCGGCTAGTATCGCTTCTACTGCTGAAGTGGTCACCGCTACGGAGGCAGCAGGCTAGGGTAAAGTTGCTTTAGGCTGAGAGGTGGTGCTAGGCTGGCTGGGCGCGCGCCAAGGTTACTGCCCTCTCCCAGCAATCCCCTGATAGCTGAGAAGCCATACCCAGGTGGTCCACCACCGTCCAGCCACCACCATGCTCTCCAGCAGCTGTACCCAGCTGGCCCACCACCATGCTCTCCAGCAGCTGTACCCAGCTGACCCATCATCGTCCAGCCCTCCTACCATGCTCTCCAGCAGCTGTACCCAGCTGACCCACCATCGTCCAGCCCACCACCATGCTCTTCAGCAGCTGTACCCAGCTGGCCCACCATCGTCCAGCCCACCACCATGCTCTCCAGCAGCTGTACCCAGCTGGCCCACCATCGTTCAGCCCACCACCATGCTCTCCAGCAGCTGTACCCAGCTGGCCCGCCACCATGCTCTTCAGCAGCTGTACCCAGCTGGTCCACCATCGTCCAGCCACCACCATGATCTCCAGCAGCTGTTATCCAGCTGGTCCACCATCGTCTAGCCACCACCATGCTCTGCAGCAGTTGTATCCAACTAGGTACACTACTGCTGTACACTAATATGATCCCCATTCAAGGCAGGTGAAATCGCAAATCTAGCGAATGTATAGAGAACCTTTACTGCACATATAAGTTCCGTCAAACACCTTAATTACTAGGAAACGCTTGGAGTCACCTGACCTGTACTCACTGGAACGCAGGCGGGAGAGATACATCCTAATCAACACCTGGAAAATCCTAGAGGGACTGAGTCCCAAATCTGCACACATAAATCACTCCCTGTGAAAGCAAAAGACTGGGCAGGCGGTACAACATACCCCCAATGAAAAGTAAGGACGCCATTAATACACTAAGTGTACGGGGCCCAAGACTGTTCAGCAGCCTCCCGCCAGGCATAAGGGAAATTGCCAGTAGACCCATGGCTGCTTTCAAGACGGAGCTGGACTGATACCTGAAGTCAGTACCCGATCAGCCGAAGACCTGATCAAGGTCTGGGCCGCGGGGGTATTGACCCTTGCAACACCCTCCAGGTAGACCCACTACCGTCCAGCAGCCACTATGGTCACAGCTCGAGTAACTTGACAATTTCATAAACATCCACACAATCCTCTTGTCGGCACAAAGCATTAACACCCACACCGCACCTACCACCAATACACAAGCATAATTTTTCCGGCCAACACCCGAAAATCACAACCCCTCTCTCACACCCGACAATCACAACTTCTACCACCCATACACCACAATCATCCCGCTCACGCCTCACAATCACCTCCTGCTGACACCCCACAATCACTTCTGCTCACACCCCACAATCACTTCTCCCGCTCACACCCCACGATCACAACTCCCGCTGACACCCCACAATCACAACTCTCGCTCACACCTCACAATCACAACTTCTACCACCCATACACCACAATCAATTCTCCCGCTCACACCACACAATCACTTCTCCCGCTCACCCCACAATCACTTCTCTCGCCTACACGCCATAATTACTTCTCTCGCCCACACCCCACAATCATAACTTCTTCCGTCCACTCCACAAATGACCCACGACTGACACTGCTCTCAGCTGTTGCTTATATTCTACTAATCTGATAAAACATATGTAATGGTTAAACTCCTGTGAATAAATCAACACAAGGAGTGATGAACGCCTGATCCTCAGTCTGGAAGTGCAAGGCATGCTACCTGGCTGTACTTAACCTAGTAACCAAAAACTCTTCCTAGGGTACTAAGACAACTAAGATAGAGGGTGAAGTCACCTCCACTCCTTGTGCTGAATCATCCACACGGGTTAAGAACACCCATATAAATATATAGTTATATGAATACAAATGAAAATGCCAGACTTCGAGTGTAGATGTGACAACATGAGACTGGCCATTGCAGTGACACCACGAGAGACCGACCCCTGCAGTGACAACACGAGAGACCGGCCCCTGCAGTGACACCACGAGAGACCGGGCCCCTGCAGTGACACCACGAGAGACCGGCCCCTGCAGTGACACCATGAGAGACCGGCCTCTGCAGTGACACCACGAGATACCGACCCCTGCAGTGACACCGCGAGACCGGCCCCTGCAGTGACACCACGAGAGACCGGCCCCTGCAGTGACATGAGACTGGCCCCTACAGTGACAGCATGAGACTCTGGCCCATGCAGTGACAACACGAGAGACTGACCCCTGCATTGACATGTTCAAGAGGAACACTGATGGAAATAATAGATGTATTCAGTGATGCACTCTTACGAGGTGAGAGACGGGAGGGGGGAGAAGAATGAGAATTGAGAATGTGCGAGTAAAGTGGTTTAGGCGGAGTAGGAGTGAGGAGAGGAGTAGAGTGAGTACTGTCGAGTGGAACAGTGTAAAAGCAGTATGGTGGAGTGTAGGAGTGGATTTTGTAGTAGGAGCGGGTGGATAAAGGAGTAGGAGTTGAAGGTAGTAGCAGAGGGGAGTATGAGTGGACAGGTAGGTGCTGAAGGGGTAATAAAACTTAGATAAGAGTGAAGAGGTGTAAGAGCACTTCAGGAGAATAAACCCAGACAAACAATGAGGGTCAGTCTCCTTCTCGCCCTGCTGGCAGTGGAGGACAGGGCAGCCTTGTTGGCGGGAGTGCCTCACAAGAGTGGCACTCACCCCGGGAATGTCTGGGTGCCACCAACCCCCGTCTTACAGGCGCCACCCTCCTCAATTTCATCAGGGTGCTCCTTCGTTCCAATCCACTACGTTATCCCAAGACGTGTCTCTCGTGCCTTCTGTAATCCTTTATTTACTATGTGCCACTCAGAACCTTCACGTGTTCCTACTGTTAAGTCCAACATCGTTTCCTGAGCAAGTAATGCATCTTAACTACTACAGTATTATTTTTTTAAAATTTTCAAAAGCTCTTATGTCCTCCAAGGTATCGACTCTCAGCAGCACCTAATATGCTCATGCAATGGGTAGATAATGGCAAAAGCCAACAAGTGGGACTAAAGACATTGGTAGCCGAGGATAATTATAATACGACGAAAACGTTGAATTAAAAGAATCCTCTGCAACCCGAGTCTATCCCCTGCTTTTGGAATATCTGGTTTCTTTCTAAATTCGCCTCATTGGAATCTCCACAGGACCCATGAATTAACCACTGAGCTTTCATCCATTCTCTAGGGTTTAGATGTTCTCCATCACACCAGACTATACAGCCTGCCTTTCCAAGGTTTCCTTGAGGGTTTGTATGCGTTCCCACTAGCTTGACCCACTCAGTTTCTCTTCCTTAATAATGTAAACATGCAGACCGTTGCCCTCGGCATCTTCAGATTTCTTTTACTCCCACAGCACTTAACAATTTCTGTAGGGCCAACCTTGTGTCTCTACAGGTTTCCTTGGACTGGTACTCGAGGACACAAGTTAAATTCAATTTACCAACCCACTTTTTGGTTCGTCCTTTTTCCCTCTCCCATTCATGCACCCACCCTTTTATTCGCGAATTTTCCTGTAAAGCCTGCTTCAGGTGGTTAGAAACACGAGCACTGCAGTAGACGTCCCAGCCCGTGCTGGGACTCCCTATCCGCACCCACATATTCTCAATCATTTAACTTATCTCTTAAAGATATGAAAAGTTTACGAGAGAATCGCTGAGTGGTAACTCGAATACCTTTATATTTTTTCTTATCTTCCACTAAATCCTATCAACTCCGCCCTCCACTTGCAACTGTAAGAGAGGAGCGTCAAGAATGTATCTATTATCCACAGTAGCCACTATACCTCCCCCTCCATTACCCCTTCTATCATTTACTCAGTCGTGAAATGACCTTTCTGAAGTGGTACAAAACTTGTTACCCTCGTCCACTATATTGGACTTTGTATCCCACCATGTGCGCCTCACCCTCTTACCTTTCCTCTTACCCCATATAAAAGACTGCCAACACCTCAGTTATTCCCTCCTCCAATATCACTACCCTCCTAAACCCTTTCAACCCCACTATCCCTCCAGCTCCTCCATCTATCCCTATACCCCTCCTCCATC